CCGAAGAAGGAACGTGAATAGTAGATTGTCTGAATATTCTGCTAGCCGTAGGACGAAGGTATCAATGAAAGCAGAACCAACTGCGACTACCCGGAACGATCATGAACGATAACTCCTTGGCTAGGAGTCCTAAACAATGGTGGATATTGGTATCACTCGTAGAACGCTTAGATACCTTCCTTCCTTCTTTCTTTTCTTTTCTTTTCCTTTTTCCCTTTAGCAATCTTCCTTTCTCGCTTCCTATGCTCAGTTGCCGACAAGGCGGTCGCCGATTGTAATTTGCCGATAGGATTCTACCTGCCGCGTTGAACGTTCTACTCTCTTTCTTTCTTTCTTTCTTTCTTTCGTTTGAATATACCTTTCTCTCTCTCTCTCTTTTTATCTTATTCTTTCCTAAGTTAAGTTAAAATCTTGAAGATAGGGATAGGATATTGGCCAGTTTGTAGTACTCGGTAAGAAGAGATACATCTTATACCCTCGGTAACTACCCATAGAACATTTCCTAAGCGGCGGCATGGCGGTTCTTCGTTCTTCGTAGTAGACCGACTGGTCAATATGTATCGCACCAGAAGGGCTGCTCAAGGTATGCCGAGTGCTATACACTCTATAGTGTATATATATATATGCTGGCGTGTGTGCCAGACCAACGCAATCCTGCCACGAGAGAAACGAGATACCAGCGAGATACAGTCCTCTTGCAACTAACTGCAGCTCTATTACCTATTCGTTTCGTGCCCGCGAGTCTAATACCCTTCTACGTGAGGATATACTTAACCTCGGATTAGGATGCCACTTGTCACTATGAGAAAGAAAGAGAGAGAGAGGAATAATCTTTGATTTTATTATTATTGTCGAAAAATATCAAATTCTTTTTTAATTAGCTATAAACAAAAAATGGTTTGTAAATACATCATTTAAATTGTTCGATAGTTATGACACCGTACACCGGAGACGGGTATGCTTCCCCAGGGGTCACGTCACCGTATACGGTGACGCTCTTCTTCTTGAAGTTATAGTATTTTTAGTTGGAAAAACTTTAACACATTTATTATTTCGAAAGAAAATTATTTGCGATAAATGAAACATAATATTCGGTGTCGCATTGTTGATATTTTGACTTATCACTTCTTTACATTACAACGCGCTGACAGTCGAATTTTGGGCCTGACGAGAAACTCACCCGAAACGAGCTCAACTAGAAACTCATTGTAACTTCGTGTCCTAGATAATAATATATTAATATTCACATGAAAAGTGTTTCATCGAAAATATCTTTAGCCTTTAGCGCCTAACATTATTAACAAGTAGCATAAATCAAGTTGACAATTTGAGGACAAATCGATAGAGAGTATAGGAATGTAATCGACTACCGATTAAGAGAAGCATCATTGAATCAGTCGTTGAAGGTTGGAGGACGACGTTCGTGGGAGCCTGTCGGAATAATTAATATTCAGCGAGGCGTTGGTGCGTTCTCCGTTCAGCCGAGCGATCTTCGAGGCTTGTACTTGGAAAAGTACTTGGAAAGGAAAGCCCTACGTCGGCTTTCGATGCTGTGCGTCCGATAGTCACGGCCGTCCGTTCACGACTTCGGTGTCATTTCATCAATTACGAGCGTGGATGGAGATACGAGAAAGAAAGAAAGAGAAATACACACCACCATGATGGTGCTAGTGCTGGTGGTGAATGTGGTAGTGGTAGTGGTTGGGGTACAGGAGTGTTGGAACGTATATAAGAAGGAATCGGAGTGCCAACCCATCCGTAGGCGTTCCAAGCGATTCGCTCGAATAGTCGCGAAACGATTCGCGAGAGAAACTCTCGGACCTTTCCCATGAAGAAGCGTCCATTGACAGCCGGAGAAGTGTATCACAGAGGATCCTAAGTGTAGTTATTCCAAAGGAAAATAAAAGCTTTACCATCTCCTTCTCTTCTTCTTCTTCTTCTTCTTCTTCTTCTTCTTCTTCTTCTTCGTCTTCGTCTTCTTCTTCTTCTTCTCCTCCATCGGTGGACCCCGATTATTAATGGCCGCGGTGGTGGTCGTCCGTCCGTGCAACACGGGCGCAAAAGTGTACATCCGGTTTTCTACCCAAGACTCACCTCCTAGAAACCTCCCGACGTGTTGGTTGCCACCGGTGCAGGACGAGAGCGGACGGCCTTGCACCAACGTTAACAACCGAAAAGCAAACTCGAACACATTCGTCAACTTTTCGTCTTATCTTACATACTGTGTGTGTGTGTGTGTCTCGCGTCGTTATCAAAGTTTCCATGTTTTTTCTTTGATCTATTTAAATATTTGATCGTTGAATCTTTTTTTTTCAACATATAACCAATATACTGTACGAGCTGTAATCACTTATCGATCGATCAATTTCGAGTTAATTAAAAATGTCTATATCATTAAGTATACACTTTAAACAACTTTGAAATGAAAGGTAAAACTTTATATGCAGTATTTAGATAGATATCTTTATAGTCATCAATATACCAACAACATAACACACGATGATAAAAAGTATATAATGAAAATGTTTATTTTCTATAAGCCATATAATTATCGACAATCTCGTAATTTTTTTTTCTCTTTCTTTTTCTCTCTCTCCCTCCCTCCCTTCCTCCCTTTTTTCTTTTACTGTATCGAACGATCACACACAGTTTTCTTTCCCCAAGCGAAATACTCACACACATTCCATTTGGCAGTTACGCAGTTACGCGTGTAAGCATACGCTAACGAAGGATCGGCCAGAACGACCTTCTCGATACCCATTACGCCTCGTTCGTTTATTTTGCGGCTTTACGCGTTACAGATCTTACTGTAATGCCCCTTTGTACAGCGCCGTGATATTCTCCCTTATTATATATTTCTTATGCCATCGGCACTTTACCTTCCTTCCTTCCTTCCTTCCTTCCCTTCCCTTCCCTTCCCTTCCATTCCCCTCCCTTCTACTAACTTTTTTTTTACCTCTCTCATTCGTTAACTCGAAAAAGATAACTCGCTTCGATCTTTACTTTTATTTCTTTAGATCGTTTCTGTCGCCATAATGCAAATAACGTGAGATTATAGTTAACTTACCGTAGATAGATCTACGTCATTTTTAAATTATACACTTTTTTTTAATATCATTTTTATTTTTATTCAACTATTTATCAAATTGTAAATCTACAAAACCTAAAAAAATATAAAAACTTACGTATTAACGCCAGTGCAGCAAAAATTCCGCTAATGCGCCAATAAAGAGCAATCTTGTTGTTCGCACACAGCAACCGTCAGGGTTGCGTTAGAGTTTCGACGAAATTTTTGCTACGGTGGCGTTAATACGTAAATAGTTTCGGAACAAAATAAACCAACCTTCTATGAACTTTTAGCCCACCCTATATTCATACATATAAATCTGCGTTTAATTATAAAATAATTTTGGTTAAAAAAAAAAATCCCCTAAAAAATACAAAATATTAACAAGCAACCGTAGTATCCAAAAAAGGGACTGCATAAAGAGTTAAGATGCCAAGGAAGAAAAGGGTAAGGGCGGAGAGAACTGTGACGCCGCGCATACCGTAGGAGACCGTTGGAGAGGGAAAAGAATGGTCTGAGAGGAAAGTAAACGGACCTATCCCAATCTCGAAGGCCCACGCCGAGTCCCAAACGGTAGAGGGTGAGTGAGAGTTGGGAAGAAAGAAGGAAAGTGAAATGAAAAAAAAATGAAAGAAAAAAAGAAAAGAAGGATGGATGGATAAGAGTAAAGTTGGAGCGTGAATACACGATACAGGTATATAAAGATTTAGGAGGGTGTTGCGTGGGTCACGATGCCCGTGAGGCACGAATACACACACACGAATAAACGTACAAATACAAGACATGCGTCATCACACGTTTGTATAGGATAGGAAGACACTTGTGCATATACCAAACTCATACAAATACGCATACAATAGAAAAAAAGTGTAAAATATTAAAAATACACATAGAGAATGAGATCGTAAGTTTAACACCACCCCCCCCCCAATTCCCCCTGTTCCTACTCGTTCGTCGTAGTCGTCGTTCCTGGCACGTACTCGTTATGGAAACCACCAAAGGATATTGTTGCTCGTATATATGGAGAGTACCAGGGAAGCGAACAGGACTTGTACTATGCAGATGATTCCGCGATATGGGACTATTCATTGTGAGTCATTTAACAGTTTATGCGCCGAGTACTACGTGCTTGCTCGAATCTGTGCAATGTGTTATTATATTGCTTATCGAAAGCCTATCCAGCAGCTCTTTCCCCGTCTTCCCCTCTTACCCCGACTGACTATCCCCTATAATAACGCGCGTGCCACTCTTTCATCGTCAAATCCTAGCTAGCTCTGCTACTTCGTATTAAATGACTGAAAATAACTCGATAGTTAGTCGAGTAGTAGTAGTCATATACGATGTCTAGGATTTATTTGATTATTATAAAAACAAAAGAAGAGAGAGAGAAAGAGAGAGAGAGAGTTTGAGAAACATTCTTGACTACCCTCCTCTCGAGACTACCAATCACCATCCATAAGACGTGCACACTCTCAAATTAGAGACAACTAATTTATTACACTCTGATTAATGATCTACGTGGAATCCTAAATCTAGATATAATACCCTGTGCATATTAATAGCTTTAGTAGAATCGATTGGTCAAGGAAGAGGAAAATCTTCTTAATGTTTTGCATATCTTAAGGGCGTTAAATAATCCATCATGTTACTTTCGATTAAACGTTATCATTCCACTACGATAATACACGTTTATAAACTTCTATAATTTATCAAAACTGTTTAAAAGTGTTTTATTTTATTTCTTGTAATTTATTCAAATGCATAAAATGGTGTCATGCAAGAAACATGCTATATATATATACATGTGGGATTCGTGACAAAAATTGGACCGAGATTCGCTTTTCGGGCGACGACTACTCCTTAACCAATTGAGCTATTCAGAGCCCATCGAACTACTTGTTATTTTAAAACTAATTATGCAATCTCATTACAGGAGGACTATAGTCAACGAAGACGATTATCCACACCAAGCGGAAGTCCAAGTCCACCGAGGCCAACAAGGCTCTCGAGATCTACCGGTACCCTAACCAGGGACGAGGACTCCTTCTGCGAGTCGAGTAACACGCTCACGAGAGAAAATCAAGGACAAGAGGCTGAAAGGAAGGGATGGTTCAAATCTCTATCACGAAAAAACAAATCCAATACAAAGGTACATGCTCATCAAACTTATTGGATTGTTCGAAAAGTAATTGCACTTGAAAGGTCTAGGTTTAATCTCAAAACGAAAATTGTCTTATTCATTTTCACAATAAGCAAACGAAAACTACTTTCCGAACAACCCAATATATTATCTAAACATTACAAAATTCAAATTAAATGAAATATTTACGAATTAATTGCAACCACGTGGTAATAACTTCTAATAAAAAAATATGAAATTTGTGGTGTAACGAGGTAAAAAAAAAACAAATTTCATCAGGAGGTGGAGGGGGGGGGTGGAAATAAAATGAAATACAAATATAAATAAACTCTCGTAATTATAATCTCTCTTTTTCTCTCTCTCTTTTTTTCTCTCTCTCTTTCTCTGGATACGCTCGAATGAACGATGTTTCTGACTCGTTTTGTTTTTTCTCTTTTTTTTTTTTTATTGCTCTTTTCAAAAAGCCGTTCTGCAAGATCCCAGTATACATATATATATATGCGTGTAAAAAGAAAAAGAAATAAAAAGAAAAAAAAATAATAAAAAAAGAGAGAAAATAACTCGCGGAGGTGGTGGCAGGCAGGCAGGCAGGCAGGCAGGCACCTGTTTAAGGGAATCGTCGTGAACGAGTCCTCCTCTCTCGTGGAATATTTCCGGGCATGACATCAACTAGTCGTCGTCGTTGTCGTCGTCGTCGCGACGAGGCGGCTTTTCAAGGTTCGACAAACAAGTCCATTCCAAAGTTCTTATCCGAATCCGGCATAGTTTGTGCAACCAAGTGGGCGAGATAAAAAAAAAAAGAATACACAAGTTTATGCATTCGTTCGATATTCTGACGATTAAAATGAACAAAAATTATTTTGAGCAATAAACAACGTTAAAATCTTAACGCATTTCAAAAATTGCGAAATAATTTCATAAATAAGACTTCTTTTTATATAAATTACGTGTCACGTTGTTTGTCCGCAATGAACTCATAAACTACTGAACTGATTTTAAACAAATTTTACACACCGTGTGCAATTTAATCCAACTTGAAAGATAGGATAGTTTATATCATTCTAACAGATGGCGGTATAAGGTAATTCGTTGACTTAAAGACGTGTGTATTGGACTGATTGTGAGCCACAGCAACGTGTGAACGGGGCACCCCCTAGTTAATGATAATTTTGAATAACATCATCATTCGTATTATTATAAAATATAATTTCATATAAAAATTGTGTTATTTGAATGAATTAATAAATGTAATATAAAAAAACAAAATGTATAAAATATTGGTTGTGATAGAAAAATTGGAATATTGATCTCTATACTTAAATCTTGTTATTAACAATAGTAACGTAACAACATGTTTAGGTATAAGCAGAATAGCAAGGAGAACGTTTCCATATCCGATCCTTCCCCTTGTTAGCTACGGGCCCGTACGAAGCAGAGGCCATTAGACCAATACAACCTCCAATTACCGGTTTGATTAAATGCTTATCTAACTCCGCGCTCTGTGGTTTAATTTAATCGCGAGATTAAGTGCCGATCGAAGGGCTGCTTAGCTCTCTCTCTTTCTCTTTCTCTTTCTCTTTTTCTTGAATATCCCCCAACAAGGAGAGAATGAGCACACCGATATTTCGATCCTTTCTTCCTTTCCTTTCCTTTCCTTTCCTTTCCTTTCCTTTCCTTTCCTTCCTTCCTTCCTTTGGAACACGATCTTTGCTTGAGGTTAGCCCTAGAGCTATCCAAGATAGCTGCATAGAGATGATTGCGTGCACGTGAATCTCGGTTATGCAGGATGATCTATCGAACGATCGATGAACGGACCCAGAACACTCGCTTTCACGAGAGTCTATAGAGAAATGCTAGATTTTCTCATCTATTTTATAAACTATAAAGTTTTAAAGTTATAAGAGGAAATATTGTCATCGTTTTTCTTTTTTTTTCTTACCACTTACCTCTGAATTTGTTCTATGAATTACAACTTTTTTATTTCCTTTCTTTTGGAATTTTAAAATTATAATATAATATAATATATATATATATATATAAG